TACTTTTGATCTTTGGTCTCTTCGTAGTTATAATGGTATCTTGTCAGCCTGTTTTGTGACGGGCATTTTGATCAATTAAAATCCATAGATTGACATACAACAGTGGGACATTTCTAATTGTTGAAATGTACTTCCATACATATGTACTGTTCATAAAAACCTACATGTTGTATTTGTTCTTAGCCTTGTTTTGGGATTATTTTTGTGTCATTAATCTCGCCTATGATTTTGTTTTGTTTGCAGCTTTCTATTTTCCCACTCCCTTGTAAAACAAGTTTCAGACTTCAATGCGTAAAGAATCAATTCATGACATAATTATATCAACTTGTTCTTTTGTTCCAGGAAAAGGACATGTAAAGCACTTATTTTTTAATTCAACACAGAAATATTGTATCAGAAAATATTTTGATGACTTACAGACATAAAAATCACAGTCAGATGTTTGAACTCACTGAGAAGATTCCTCGGGCCTGCAGCTGTTCTTTAAAAAGAACATTTCTAGCGTTGGGCGGGGGAGTGTGCCTCACAGCGAGAAGGTTCCTGGTTTTGAATCAGGAGACTCTCTGTGTGGAGATTGCATTTTCTCCCCGTGCTTGTGTAGGTTCTCTCCGGGTACTCCGGCTTCTTCCCAAGCTCGTTAGGTTAATTGTCGACTTTACATTCCCCGTGTGTGTGAATGTGAGTGTGGCTGGTCGTCTGTGTCCTGTGATTGACTGGCGAACAGTTCAGGGTGTACCCCACCTCTCGGCCAATGACAGCTGGGACCCACATCAGCCCCCAGGGACCCCGAACAGGTAAAAAAAAGCAGTATGGATAATAGAATGGATGAATATGATCGCCCCAACTCATAACACATCAAAACCCAGGACATACCATTATAATTTTCAGGGGAAGAGTCCATGAATATTTTTGATTGATTGATGAGAATGAAACTGAAGATAAAGACTTAAAGAACACAATATATCATTTCGTTAATGTTGGATGAAAAATATTTTATTTCAAATTTGCCTTTTAATTGTTAAAAACAGTATTTACAGTTTTAACCAACAAGTCTACAGGTGTGTCCAGGTAGTGGCTTGTAGAGAATGTTTTTGCTTCAGTCATGGTGGTGCATGTCAGAGTGGTATAGAGAAGTGTCTGTCACAAAGCCTGCTTTCACCTGAACTAGTAAGCACAGGAAACATCCTGAAGATACCTCTGTGGAAGTGTTGTAAATGAGACGAGATGGGTTTTGGTGTTCTTCATTAATATGTCTCACTGACAACAGCTGATGACTGTGCAAACATCTGTTGATGACATTTGTTGACATTTTGCCTAACCACTAAGTCCAGTCATCGCTCCTCCTCACTTACCCTCTTGTAAAGGAGTACAGGAAAGGAAGTTTTTGACATTGGCACTTCCGACTTACCGGGTATTTAAGGATTATTCCCATCGGCAGTGTCAGGTCAGGACAAGTCAACAGATCTTGCGGAAATGTGTGGGAAGAACAGCCAATGTCTAAATTCTCCGAAATCATCCTCTCCCCGCCCTCCACCCTCAACCCCCTAAAATATAAAAAAAAAAACACACTTGTTTACAATTGGCCTTCTCCTCTCCAATCCTTTGTGGCTCCCCGGCTTCACCTTCACCTTGTATAACATCCCGATTTAATACTCTCCCAAACTGGGAGATAAGCTACAACAGCCAACTGTTACAGAAATATCAGGCCAACATCACAAACAAAAAACAATGTCATTACTGAAACAGGAAGTAATCCATAAAGCACGTGTTATCACCCAAAAAAAAGTTAGTTTTTTTCCCCTCTCCACTTCCGAGAAAAGACCTAATTCTTCTTCTCTACCTAAGAGGGAGCTCTGTACCCTCCCATCGCCCACTGACATCCGCCGGATGTGAGAGGAATATGGACTTCTTATTAAGTCTTTGGAGCTCCAATATATTGATATGTGAATCTGAAAGGTGCTTTCTCAAAGTGTGCTAATATTTAGAGTGTGGGTACTTATTTTTGCTCTTTAAATCAATCAGAAATTTAAGGCATATTCATGAGATAATGAGATTCATTATATATTACAGCGCTCCTTCACTTACCTGATGGATTTGTATCATAATGGAAAACATGGTTTAGTATTTCAAATTGTTTGTGTCGGTGAGGCCATTCCCAATAACAAAGCGTGATGATGACGTGTCGGAGTGTTATATTTAAATTGCAGTGTGCGAGAGGGACTGATGACTGCGTCAGTTTAACCTTAAGAGGAGCACAACACTTTGCATGTTGTGTACAGTGAAGGATTAGATACCTGTTTTTCTATCTCTTTTAGTTGCTCACATCATCTGGTCCTCCTGGTCGCCTGTCATGATGTCGGGTTCTTCTGATGTTCTTGTGATGTTTGGTTTGAAGTTGTGTGTCTGTTTAGTTCTCTTGTTGTCTTTTTGGTTTTCATTCTTTAGTGTTTAGGATTCTCTTCTTTGTCCATCTGTTACATTTTCACTTGTCTATCACAGAGCTTTGTAATTCTGTTTTTTTAAAGGTGCTATATAAATAAAGTTATTATTATCATTATTATTCATTAAGACTTGGCAGGATGCATGCTAAGTGTCTATGTACGTAAGTGATGCTGCAGATGTCATCCTCTACATTTTGATAATGGACTCTTAGCAAACGTTTGTTTTCAAGTATCTGGCTCCCCCTGGTGGTCAACGCAATCTACTGCCAAAGTGGCTATTTGCTGGTAACATAATGTGTGTATTAAAGCAAGTAAAGGACAAGCTAATACTTCAAATGTTACAGCATTATGATGATTTTATTTGTCATAAAATATATAAATGTAAAACCAGCCTTATTGTTCCTGTTAGGAGGAAATGGACTGTAGCATGTTCTATTGATTATTGATTGGTGGCTTGGTTGGTAGAGTCGGTCGTCTCCTAACCGCAAGGTCGGGTTCGATTCCTAGCTCGTGCAGCTACATGTCCAATGTATCCTTAGGGCAAGACACTTAACCCCAAGTTGCTCCCACTGCTTCCTCGCGGCGTATGAATGTGTATGAATGGATTAGTTAATACTGATGGTCACTGTACACAGCAGCCTCTACCATCAGTGTGTGACATGCGGTGTAAAAGCGCTGAGAAGTTAGAAGACTAAAAAATAAATACACAAGCTCAAGTCCTTTTATCTGTAATCTTAATACAAAGGTATCACAGAGTCAGTTACAATGTGCCCTCCAGTCAAGTAAAGCCAATGGATGCATGGTTGAAAATATATTCAAATAATCTCTTTATTCATTCTATATAGTTGTACACCACTAAAGACAGTGATAGGAGCACACAACGGGCATGAACATTTGTCAGTTATATAGAGGAGGGAGGAAACTTTGCAGGTTTTGATCATAAAAATAAGAACATTTGTCGAAATCCTCTGGTTGCTGCGAGTACATCAAAAACAGGAGAAATAAGACGGTATGTGCCAGATTGACTTCTTTCACTTGCTATTGATGTTTTTATTCTGTACAGAGGGACAATTTTGTACAAAATTAATTCTAGATATATAACACTACATGAAACAAGGTAAATCATATATACAATATTAAATGAATCATATAGTACAGGTCACATACAAAAGGACACTTTAAGTTATCATGTTTTGGAAATAATATGTTAAAATTAAAAGGTCTGCAAGGATCCTGCAGAAAGAGAACAAGCCAGCGAATCATTTTTAAATCATCTCTTCTTATCGCGGACGACTTGTTGTTCAGCACTAAATGAAACCTCAAACATCTCTTGACGGAAACTCATAAAATCCATTAAACATCTCTCCCAGCAAGCAGTACTGTTTCATAATAAATGCAACGACCTCGACGACAGAAATCAGTCAGTTTGGTGAATGGCATTCCTCCAGGGGTAAAAGGTACATGTTTAACATGGTACTTCTAATTTACATTTTTTTTTTTGCATTCAAGCAAATACAGTATTAATACAGTTAACAAGCCAAGTCACAATGTATTTTATTTGTTTTATTTTCAGCATCTGGCATTTTTGTGGCCGTTTGATAACCAGTGTGTTTCAACGTTGGCCAATCGTGAAAGGCCAGAAAACAAAAGTCCAAAAAGAAATAACCTGACATCCAGGCTACGAACCTCCAGAGACAAGACAAAGAAATACGACACGTCAAATATGAAGAAACTAGAAGACCTCCTTTTAGTTGAAACAATGGTACTGACTGGAAGATATTTTCCTTCCTCAAACCAAACACCTGACAGGAGGCGCAGTAGCAACACAAACATGCTACACCTTTAGCCTAAAGGATTTTTGGTAGCTCTCATCAGGTCCTTGGTGTATTAATCATTTATTATTATTATTAACTACTAAGGTTACAAGCTCTTAAAGGTCACATATTCTCCTCCTTTTTTAACAAGTTTAAGTAAGTCTCAGAGCTCCTTAAAGCATTTCTTTGAAGTTTTCTTGTTCTAAATCCACTCTGATCCTGTATTTGATCATGTCTATAAACCCCTCTATTTCAGCCCTGCTCAGAACAGGCTGTTTCTGTGTCTGTACCTTTAAATATGTAAATGAGCTGTCTGACCACGCCCCTATTCAAGGGCTTTAATGGTTCAAGCTTTCTCGCTCCATGCCCTATTGTTTACGATGACAAGGCAGACTCAGAGGGCAGAACAAACACCTAGCTGTGGAAGTGTCACCCACCTGGGGGAGGGGTTACTGCCCTCTGTGATGTCACAAAGGTAAAATCTAAAAACGGCCTTTTTGAGCACACATTTTCTGAAAAGTGGAGCAGGCATAAGACGGAGAGGATGGACTTTTCTCATAGTAGACAGACCATGTACACATAATTGTGTTTTCGAAAAACATATTAATTGTTTTTAGCATCATATGTGACCTTTATGTTTGATAATAAATTAATCTATATTTTTTTAATTAGGAGACTTGAAAATTAAATGTTTGCTAAAAGCCATCAGCAAGTGGCATTTGAAGCCATTAAGTAAAGTGTTTGCTATCTTCTTCCACATGATCTAGTTTCTGATTATATTTCCTTTATAAAGACAATCATTCCTATTCATTGGACAGTTTATATAAAATCCTACACCACTCTCTCTCTCGTCTTTTATATTCGGTTGTTTTTGTGCAACTGAAGGTTCTCCTTGCTACATCCAAGCATCAGCTAATGCTACTAAAGGTAGCAAAGACATGCAGCTTTCAATCATGTTCATCATAATCCACTGAACTGAACATCAGTTAGTACCATTGTTTGAACTGTATACACATCACTATGGTCTGGGTTGTCAAATATTGCCAATGAACATAGGGAAGCAAGCATATCAAAAGAGCGGCATATGGCACAAAAACAATAAAATGGAAAGTGTTGGATGTCCACAGGACAACGTCTTCTTTCCTCGCCATCTTTCCTGGACATTTGCAAGGCTGAGGACAGGCCTCAGTTTGGTCTGGCGTACTCTAAACTAAAATTTTTAAAAACCCTTAAACACCAGTGAAAAAACAAAGGCAAGTGTCCCTGTTAAAGTCACACGTAGAAACATGACACAAACAAACGCAAAGAACACAACGGTCTTGGCACTGACAAGATGTCCGTTAGTTTGAGCAACAACAAAAAAAAAAAAAAACATACGACAGATTGACAGGAAAGTCTCGTCTTTCATCTTTCACCTTTCACCAACCGGTTCTGTTCTTGATCCCTTAAACAGAAAAGAAAACCAAGCAGAGACCGAGAGATGATCCTTAGACAGTGAGTCAGTCAGTTCCTATGTTTCCATGTCCAATCCATTGTGAACACGTTTCCAGGAAGGAATGAAGGAACCAGCTTTGTGACGCCCGTTTCTCCTAGGTTCCACATTTACAGTGAGTGCAGAGAGGGGGGGGGGGGGGGGGTGGGGGGGCGGCTGGAGGGAGAAAAGAACGGAACTGATAGGGGGGATAACTAGAGAACACACTGAACGTGGCAAGGGCTAAGAGACACACAAACACACTCCCGCTCGTCTCCAAATAAAGACAAATAAAACCTGAGAAAGCAGAAATCAGAGGGACGGGGGGGGGGATTCAGGGCGTCTGCACTGGGGCAGCAGGAATGAAGGAGAGCCGAGGATTGTGGGTAAATTGATGTTGAGGAGGATGGATGGAGAGCCCAGCGTGGTTAACCAATAATTCTGGCAACTGGGCGGAGAGGATGTCCGTGTCTCTACTGAGGGTAAAAGGGGGGCAGTTGAACCAAAAGAGCCGGCAGGTAACAGGATAACTAGAGTCCATCGTGGGTGGTCAACATGTCTTCAGCTCTGCGGTGGGACTCCAAGGCTTTTGTGGTGTAGATATCCTGAGGCAACTCAGATTTGCGTCGCACCATAGGCCGCTCTTTCCGATGGTCATGCTGCAACTGAGAGGTAAAAGACGAGTTAGGGCTTAATAACGAGTTCTCGTGTCATCTCTTCCTGTCAGGATGCCAAATTACGGCTGCTCTGATATTATCACTGAGACGGAGCACAGCAGCTCCAGCAATATTCAGTTACATCAAAATCTAATTAACAGGAAAAAAAACAAGACTTGAGTGAAAACACGGTGCACTGAGTCAACGACATACTTTAAATTAAATACACAACATTTAATATCCTGCACTGATTAAATGGAGCCCAAACGTGTGCAATTTTCAAAATAAAGACGTATCATGAGATAAAAATATACATAATATTGTTTTTCATGTCAAATATATATAATAAACACAGCCCTTAAAATGTAAATGTACCAGTAAATGATGCTATTTTTTTTACATGAATTATTCAAAAACTTCAAATAATAGCCTGTGCTTTTCTTTTATTCAGTCTATGAGATGACCCTGTCTTTATTTGGGACCGGCTCAGTACCAGCAGGCCTTTAATTAATTTAAAACCAAACTCATGCACAACAAAAATGGTAACGACTTGAACATTTTTAAATTTAACACCAGTAAGAATAATTTACACAATGAGGAGATGGTTAAAAATGTAATTATAAATCACTCATTTGATCTTTCTTTGACAGCATCTATGCCACCCTTCTGTACTCCCTTTTCTACATTTATTTTGGATCTGCAAACTAGCCCAACAATAAATGGAAATAAGCCTCTAAACATGACCGTAACACCAGGAGAGTCAAAGGGACTGGTTCTTAAATTGGAATGGGCTTTTATTTGAAGTTTTACGGTAATATTTCACAGTCGTATGGAGGGACTAAAATGTCCTTTTTGAACGTAACACTCAACTTTGGGACATCATGGTTAATGATAAAACTACTGTTGTCATGACTACAGTGATGCCAACATCAATAAACCTGCAAAAGTGTCATCCCCCCCGTGTTCGGTGGAGATATACATTATAGAGGTAATCAAAACTATTTGTTAATTCATGTGTGTTGTATTTAGGGCTGTGAAGGAATTTCCACTGCGGTGATACAGGCTGGTTCAATATCGCACCACCCCTTTTTAATTTATTTAGCCAATTTGTTCGTGAATCAGGGGTCAGAAACGTGCCTGCCAGCACACTGCTCCATGCTGTGAATAGTTGGTGTTTATCACTGAATGTCACAGCGTTGTAGAAAATAATAAAATAAGTAAAAGTCACAATCCAAACAAGCTTGTGGGACAGATACAACCTCAAATTAGATCGTTTTTTATTATGTTTTGTATTATTTATTTCATGATAGCTTATTTATCTGTATTATTAACACGTTAAGGCTCCATACTTCTAAGAAAACATGCAGGGCTGAGTAAAGAAGCTCTTGATTCCATTGTTTAGTCCACGTGGTTCATTACAACAACTTCAAAAACAAACATTAAACATGACTTTTAAAGATGATTTAACAGAAAAAGTAAACAATCATTATTCATTTAGCTCAGACTAGCTTAGAGAAAATAAACTTTTATAATTCAGAGGACTTTGATTAAACAGAAAAGATAAACAGAGACCGAGAGAAAGGCAGGTTTACCTGAGTCGCGCCCTCCTCAACTGTCTTTTTTAACCTCTGAACATCTTCTATCAAAGGGATATCCGTCTCCATTGCTACAGGACTATTGAGGTCAGAGGAATCAACATACATAGAGAACTATGTTGAAAACAAAGGGAAACAAAAAAACAAGAACACAAAAGGATGGAGAAAAGACTTTCAGTCGCATGCAAATTAGAAGGAATCAGGCTCTGAACTGATGAAGAGGAGCAACTCATAACTAGTCAACATGCATTAGATGTGGTGTGTGGGAATCTAAATGAAAGAGGATTTCTTTACTGATGTTTTAGATTTTAAAGCAATTTGTTTGTCAAATTACGTTAAAGATGGACGCCTCGTGAGAGACCCTAAATAGAAATATTTAGAAACTGGGAGTGGTTAGTTTGCGCGGTCCATGCACAGAGGCTGAAGTCCTCGAGGCGGTCGGCACGGGTTCAAAACCGACCTGTGGCTCCTTTCATTCCTCTTAAAAACAAAAACAACAGAGCGCCGCTAGCCTGGCAGTCAGTGCTCCACGTACAGAGGCTTCAGTCCTCCTCTCTCTCCCTGACTCTATCCACTGTCCCATCTCTCCAATAAAGGCTCAAAAAGCCCCAAAACAAATCTTTAAAATCTCAATAATTCATGGCACATTGTGTCACTTCATTACATAATAAAATAATGGGGGTTTCTACACTGACAGGAATAAATAAAGAAACGGTCTTTTTCTTCTGGCTGAGATGAAAATAGATCACTAACGTCTGCACTGTAAACACTGTGTGTTTGACTTGAAGCTTAGCTCAGCACTAAAGCTGGAAACAGGAGGGGGGGGGGGCTAGCATAGCCACATCCAACAGTTACATATTAGCCGCACCTTAAAAAGCTCAATAACATGAACATTATGTAACATAAAAACAACAGCTGCTGTTTTACAGGGGTTTCTACGTCTAAGTATCAATCAACAGGGTCGCAGTCACTTCCTGGATTCTCCTCCTGGTTGCTGGGCAACCGTACAGGGAGTCCATAAAGCTACTGTTATGAGCCAAGAAACAGAATTTTACGAGTGTAATGATAGAGACAGGCAAACCGTTTTTCATATTTTTGTGCTAATGCTAAGCTAACCAACTGCGTAGCTTTATGTTAATCAAATAGATATAAGTATCAAGCTCGAGTAGTGACACAATACCTGAGACCAAGACATACCCAAGACCAGAATGCTCCGAGATCGAGACAAGACCAAGACATTTAGAGCTCTTGAGGCAAGACCAAGACCATAAATAGTATTGAAAAATCATCATCTTGTGTTCAGTGGGCGTGTCACTCACTTAGACTTAAACACCAGGAAGGTTACGGCTGTAACCAGGGGATAATAATCAGAGTTATTTGTTCTTGTAGAAAGATGCATTTTCCTTCTAATCACAGTAATGACTTGGAGAAATAGCCTATCAGAGGTGGTCTTGATTTAAAATCCAGAGTCAGCCCAGCCTGAGACTGAGACAAGACCCAGTAAAAATACTTTTGATTCCAAGATGAGACTGAGAAAATTAAAAATTGGTCTCGATTCGAGGACCGATTTAGAGTAGTACAACACTACAACAAAGAGTCAGCACATGTCCATGGTGTTTCTCTAACACTCAACTCTGACGTCATATTGTGTAACAGTTGATGCCAAAATCCGTTTAAAGGAGAGAATCTAAAAGTAGGATCATAAAGTTACTCATGAAACGTCTCTCTGACAAAGAACTTGATTCATTAAGAGAAGTCCGACTCGAACCACACACACCACAACTAAGCACATTGTTAGAGCAGAGCCACTCATCAAGATCTTTCCATCTTTAGCAGCAGTGTAATTTGGAAAAGAAAAAACAACAACACAATAACTACTAAATGAGAGCATGAACAAAGAGTCTAAGCAAACTTAACTTAGGATAAGATGAAAAAAAGGAAACTACAATTCAATGAGCAAAAGTGAAGGCATTCCATTTCTAAAGTATTAGCTACAGACACACTCACACTTCAGTTATGAGGGGGGGAAAAAGCATGCATCTTTACAATAACACAATCACTGCTCACCTGTGGATTTGACTTGGCAAGGTTCTCGATTTTGATCCAAGCCTCTTCACGTTCTTTTGACTTTGCCTTCTCTCTGTCAGGACAAAACACCAAAACTCCACGTCATTAATCTGCATCACTGCACGGACAAATGTGAAACAGCGGACAGTTAACAAGCTGCGATGAAGGGGCTGATTGCAATAATAAACTTCAGACATCATTAAAGGAAAAAATTAATTTGAATAGTGGGAGAAAAGTCTGAGGCGCTCACTTGTTTTTCTCCGCCCTGAACTGCTGTGTGCAATCATCAAAGAGCTTCTGATTCATCTCCATGAAGAGCTTCAGAGCGTTGTAGATGAGGCCGTGGATGGTCCTGTTAACACACACACACACACAGCAGACATTTATGAATCAAATCATACCAACAGGAAAGGCCTTTACTTCAAAGCCAATGTTTCCCCTCTGAACTACCAACTCACATGGAGGACACTGAAGAGGAGATTTTATTTTATGTTTAATGTTAAAGGAAGGATGTGCAACTTTTTGATCCAGTAGATGTCACCCTTGAGCACCAGCATGAAACCAAAACAAACTGCTGTTTGGCCACACATGCCTGTGGCCTTCATTGTTGTGTTAGCATGCTAATGTTAGCACACTTTGGTTAACTCATAGCTCCATATTGCACATACATTGATAAGGAATGGCCGTGATCTAAAGACACTTACAACATCCAAATAAGCAGTGAGTAGACTATGTCATTCTTCTTTTCTCTAGTCCTCGACTAAAACAGCTTTTATACACAAGGCTGTCCCGTCCATGTAAACATGATGTAAACACAGCTCTAACAACAACACAGCTGGCGGAACTCGCACTTCCTTTGTACAATCTTCCTTTAAGAAGCTTGGTTTTATAGTACAGTAGGATATAAAAGATTGACATCAGTCTATATATTCGGTTTTTTGAGAAACTTTGAATATCACATGGATTTGGAGAGAGTAATTTCAAGGCTGTTTTTGGTATTTTTGAGACTAATGTCAACACGACCTCGGAGGTGCAGGCCTCTTCTGGATGTCCTCCATTGTTGCCCTTTTTTTGCTGTGTCGAATTCTTAATCTATGTTGAATTTATTGGTGGGCTACAGTGTGTCACACTGCTATGATATCACACCAATACCTGTGGAAACACAAGGGGGGGTCAGGGTTTACCAATCCAAACTGTACTGAAAAACCAACCTGGACTGCATGGTGGAAATGTGACATAATGAACCCTCCTGAATCCCCCCTCGGGATCAATAAAGCACTTATCTATACTGAAATCGGCAGAAACACTACAGAGCATGTTGAAAGTCTCCAACTCAAGAGATCCATTCAAGTCTAAATGAAGCGAACAAAAGGCATGCATCTAAAGGTGAACATCCATTTATAGATTCTTCATGATGGAGTATGACTGAACACGAGAGTTTGGCTGTACACGAGAGTACATTCTGTGACCACACTCAGGTCTCACACACTTGTAAGTACTGCGAGTTATTGTGTCGGGCTGGTGTGACATGCAGTGTGACGTACAGAGCGTATCCGGACATCACAACAGCCTGCGTGTAGAAGACTACGTTTGAGGGTCTTACTTGTTCCAGTGGGTCTTAGAGTTGCGGTACAGAGCAGGGAACATGATAGGCAGAATCTTGGCTGCGTTGTCACTGATCAGACTCATGATGTACTCGTTGTTCCAGTAGTACAAGGCTCTCTCCGCCACCTGTTGAAAATACAAAAAAAAAAAAAAAAAAAGAGTCAGACATGCACGGAAAAAAAAGAAAAGCTATCTGGAGTTATGAAGTTCAGATTGTGGTCGCCCTTCGGTTACCTGGAAGTGCGGGCTGGACACACATTTGGCCAACTGTCTGAAAAGAGGCTCCTGTACTTTGACAAACTCAGAGGGCTCGATCACATCCAGGATCTCCTCCAGCTCGTTGAGGAACATCACTTCCTTGGGACTGTGAGTCTTTGGCCAGTACTTTAGAAGAGCCATTACCACCTGAGCGGGGAAAAAGATGGAGGCCATGTTTACAGAAGCTAACAAGGAGGGTAAAGGAGCTTTGGAGGTACAAAGAAATTATCATTCAAAGAAACTTCCAGGAATGTAATGAACTATAATGAACAGTTTTACAAAACAAACCTCAGCTTTAAATTTTTACAAAAGATTTAAACAAATTCAGCGACAGTATAAAAGCATATAATATGAGGGTTATTTGACATACCGGCTCGGTTAGAGTGCTGTCCTTTTCTAAAAACTGCACCACACAGTAGGCCAGCTGCAAAACACATAAACAAATACAACCATTAAACTGTCAGAAGTATTTCAATTTACGCACAAGCAAAGTACAGGAGGGGGGACTCGAGACGCCTCGGGGACTGACTGACTGACTGGAACTTGTAAAGCCACTTTTCTACATCACCTGCAGAATGACCTGCTGCTCTCCCGTTAAAGCAGAGGTGTGTGCTAATAACAGGTTTGAACGAGAACATTTAAATACATGCATTTCTCCTTTTTCTTGCACAGTAAAAGTAACATTAAGCTACTTCATTTTGTGTCGGACAGACGTACCTGTGGATGGTAGACACTGAGTGATTTGACTTTGTGCAGAGGCAATAAAACCTTCAACAGGAAAATCTTGTGCTCTTCTTTGAGTGGTAAGGCAAATCCATTGATTATGCTGAAAGATAAAAACGGATGTACAATGAGAGCAGCTGAAACAGTGGCGTGCAGGGATTGAATCATGCTTTAGCACAACGTTGCCTAGTGTGAGTGCACCCTTAAAGTGAAATGAGACATTCAAAGATGCAGCAGAGTGTTTTTCTCAAACTGTGACTGGGAGACACTGTGGATAAACCTCCGCAGTGTGTCTGAAGAGACAAAATATCATACGATCAAACTTTTAAAAAAAAGAATGAATGCATTCAATAAAGACCTTAATTATTCATGATTCACTAGTTAATGCTGACAGCCATAGTTCAGATATGTGTCATGGATTGCTGCTTTGTGTATCCAGGGTTCGGCCCACTTTCATGAAAGAGTTGAACATACAACAAATTTGAGCAAACGTCCATACCTTCCAAGTATTTCCAGTAGTTCTGCTATACCATTATGGTGCTCTGTCTCATAGATAAACCTGCAAGAACAAACAGGGATGTGTTTCAGCATCAACGGTCATGGCTTGTATAAACTGAATTACAAATGATTCATCTATGGACCATCCGTCTCCAAAAAGACTGCACTGACCTATAGAAAATGTTATTAATCTGTTTTCTGATGTATGCTCGGAGCCCAAGGAACTTTCCATAGATCCTGTGGAGGGTGGTTTTTAGGAAGTCTCTCTCTCTGGGATCTTCACTGTCAAATAGATCTAGGAGCTGCGGGAAAGAGAGGAGAAATGACAGTCAGCTCCATCATGTCAGTTCGGTATGCAATCGTATGGGTTTGAAAATAGGGTTTTTTCTTTTTCCTACCTGCATAACAAATTTCTGGTCGATGTATTTCTTCGCTATGTTGGGCTGAAAGTCGGGCGATTCTAAAAACCTAAGGAAAAATTCGTAGACGAGCTGCAAGAAACACAAGAAAACAGCAGTGAGTAACATAACTTTAAACGGCTTTTTTTTGCACACTTTAGCTCCTAATATTGTCCATTATTCTTCGTCCAAAAAAAACTTCAGAAACAAAGAGAAGTGAGGGCTACACCTTGGAATAAACGTCTTTGTGCAGCTGTGCATGGGTTACTACTGAGCTCTTTGTCACCATGCATCATCCTAAATTTGAGAATTTCCCCAACAACCACACATCTAAATCAAGTCTAATCTTCTTCCACAGTGACTTGGATGTTTTCTAGAGAATGGGATGTTTTATCCATTTGCAGATGACTCAATGATTTAAAGTTCAACCTGGAGGTGTGGCCATGCAGCTTCAAGCGTGGGCTCATCCTCCTCTGGATCAAACTCCGCTCCAGTGGGGTTGGACGATGGAGGCAATGTCCTGAACATGTTCACTGCAAACTGCAAGAAGACAGAAGAAAATTATACCATGAATGTTTATTCCACCAGCGGGAAGTGCGTTCAGTTAACTTCCTTCTTTTGTTTTGATAACCCCAGAGTCATAGTTCATGTTGTGACCACACAAATGCCAAAAGCTCTACCCAGATCTGGTTACAGGTTGGGAAAAACACACAGTTGGTACTTGACTTCCTGTTGGAAGTTTACATTCACAACATGTGGTTAAAACAACAATGGAGCCCGTTTAGTGTACTGAATCTTGATCATCTTCAACACTCCCAATTATTACACCATTTTCATACATTTCCATTTGAACTTAAAACAGAGCCATCAATGCAAACACAGTCAAAGCAGTTAAAGCAAAGCATGTGTGTGATAAAGTCCTTAAAGCACAGCTTCCTCTGGGACACGTTTTCACAGTTGGAAGCACATGAAGTGTGTTTAATGGTTGATTATAAACCGTTCAGCCGCTTGCTCATGTGTTCAAAGATCAGCTATAAGGAGTGGCAGTAGCTCAGTCTGAAGGGACTTGGGTTGGGAACTGGAGGGTCACCAATTCAGGTCCTCGTGTTGACAAAATCTGGAAATTGGTCTGGTAGCTGGAGAGGTGCCAGTTCAGTTCCTGAATACTGCCGAGGTGTCCTTAAGCAAGGCATCAAACCTCCCCCAATCAGCCCAGAGCGCTCACTCAGGGCAGCCCCCTCCCTCTGACATCTCCATAAATGCATGTCTATAGGATCCTATATAGGATATACTTGCATGTGTGTGTAACATGTCTCAATAACAGTGTAAAATTGAATTTCCCCTTGCAGGATTAATAAAGTAAATCTTCTTCATGATGTTTTTCCCAATGTTCTGTCAATTCTTGGTTTAAAAAACTAATAACTACTTGAAAAAACATGATGTTTGATATTAGTCTCTTTGTAACATCTCTCAACTGTTGTGTCTGAGGTATTCCAAAATAACTTTTCTTTTTGAGGTTAATGTTAACTTTGTCCTTGCAACTGGCCTCCAAGGGTTTGGTCCACAATAATCCAAGTGTGCTGTGTTTCTGGTCTCTCTCGCAGTGTCAACTGACTCCCCTGTGGGCTTTCTTTTCCCTGCTAGGCAGATCATGGGACAGTGCAGGTGGCCTACTAAAACACTGGGAGCCTTGTTTGAAAAGACAGGCTACAAGGTGGAAGGATTGTCTGTGCTGTGCTGCGCTTCAGCCCTGGACATGCTGTGAAAACGACTTTGAAATAACTCCACAATGGGACCTTTAATAGGCAACGTCATGAGTGAGATTACAGCTATTCTTCTGATGGCTTTGATGATGAAGAGAGAGGAGTTTTGTTTAGGAGGTGGAGGGAGACTTTGCTGTTTAAATCATGTTTATAGCTTTATTTTTGTATGTGTGAACACTACCTATGTGATAAGATGGTGAATTTATTGTCATGACAACTTCCTTTTGGTTCTCTGTTGATACATTTTACTTGTAAATCCTCTACTTCAAACAACTCGCTGTCACTTCTGCTGAAAATGAAATATTTATTACATCCCTTTTCCAGTAAAGTGACTAATTTGTAACACCCAAGCTTCATTTAGAGATTTTTATTTGAGTCAGTTGGCAGGGTGTATAATAATTCTAAATCCTTATTTAATAAGCAGTAGATCAGTCTGTAGGGACTTGGGTTGGGAACCGGAGGACCGCTGGTTGAAGTCCCAGTGTGGACCAAATCTCAAAATTGGTCTGATAGCTGGAGAGGTGCCAGTTCACTTCCTGAGCACCACCAGCGCTCGCTGTGGGCAGCCAGTTGTGTGCTTTTCCCCTCTATTCTTTACCAATTATTTAAAGGAGAGAGGATGCTTACTGACTGAACAATCAATTTAAAAAAACAGGTGACTGAATAGATTGTTTGAAATTCACACCTGAAGACAACCAGCTCCATCGCCCCTAGAAAAATAATGTCCCATTAAAAATCCAAATGATAAACATCAGCCCTTGTTTTATTTCACCAAACTTCCCCACCTTCAGCTTTAACCACCTCACACGTCTACTGACCATGTGCACCACCTCCGGGTAGATGGGCTCTGTGATGACATTCCTGTTGTGGGTGATGTACTCCACCATCTCGCTCAGCGCCGCCCGCTTCACTTCCTTCCATTTCAGGTCGCTCAGCGGGTCGGACAGGAAGTCGAAAAGGACACAGCACTGTCGTAGCTTCTGGATGAAGAGCTTCTCCTGCTCTGCCGGGGCCACATCTGAGGAGACAAATTGGAGTGAAGTGAAATAGGGTGAAGCAAAAAGCGGGGATGGATTAGAGCAGTTCAGAATATAGGACAATGGAGCCATGTCAAAGGGTGAGGACTGTCAGTTAAAACAGCGATGACATACACGAAGGAATCGGAGGCAGCAAGAGAGTAATGAAAACTGGCAAATGAGTCATGAAGACTAAAGTGCATTGAGAGGTATGCTAAAACGGTCGAAGCCCAGATTAATGTGAAGGGTTAAAAGGCAAGAAAGAGAAGGAGACGAGGATGAAGGATTTGGGAAGTAGGTTAACGGTCACAGTTTAGCCATTTGACACTCACGCTGAGAGAGAGAAAAAAAAAAATTAATAAAGGAAACCCAGCTATTTAAGTCTGTCATCTTATTTGTCCACGGCGGTTTGAGGAGTTCCTGTTTCGCTTCATTTCCACCGAAGCACTCAAGAAGAGCACGGGCTTGTAAACAAACAATCTCTGCCAGAGTCAACGCTTCACACATGACACCACAGAGAGGAAACAACCATTTGGGGCGACTCTAAAATTCCTACCTGCTGATGTGGTAAAACAACACATAGCGACACCATAATTATGTCGTTATGGAACACAAACTGTGTTGTAGCTTGTTTTTCTCTCTTTTATACCGTTTGGTTTTTTATGATCGATATGCCACATTTGATGAAAACGAACAAATCTGACTCGGCAACCAAAATAACTCCTCTTATGGAACAATTCATATCAGAATAGATTCTGCATAAAAGCATTAAACTGTCCAAAACGTGGTTACACCCTTTAAGTTAGACGATGAGATAAACGCCACGCTGAACCTGTACTTGAATTATGAAGTAATACACGGCAGCCATTTAGCTTAGCTTAGCATAAGGCCAGAATTAGAGGGAACAGCTAACTTACTATTTTTTAAAGGAAAACTCTTTCTACAAACACCTGTCAATAATAAAAATAACAACAAAATGTTGTCGATCTTGTCACAATTTCAAGCCAAGTTAGCCTATAGCCCCAAGCTAAGCTAACTGGCACATGGCTGAGCCTTACATTTACTCGACTTACATCCAAATTGGCACATTTGAAAAATTTTCAAAACACTGCTTAAAGACCTGTTTACTATGAAGTAGAGACCGACTGATAAATCTGCCTGCCGATAATATCGCCCGATATTTGCATAACCAGCTACTATCGGTATTGGCAAATTTTATTGCAGATATGCAACGATATCACTAGATTTGTTCACCAGTCAAAAAGCATTTCATTTGAGTTTCATTATATTGCACTAGCAGTTCTCTTTTACCAGCAGAGGGCGCTATATGGATTACATCAAGCATTATCACTCTCCACAATGTAAAGCAGTGATGCTCGTACATGCGCAGTTTCTTTCCAGTTGAGCTTCCATCTTATCTTCATTATACATCTTTTCTACAAGTGTTTGATGACTGCATTTAAGGGTTCAACACAACAAATGTGTATATCTATCTCTACAGATCGAAGATTGAAACAAGAAAGATATCGGCAATATATCGGTATCAGATATCGGCATCAGTCCCAAAAGTCGCATATCGGTCGGGTCCTACTATCAAGTGATTTCAACCTGCTGAACTCTGGAGCCATGTACCAACATTACCAACATTGTTCCATCAACACATAATCAAGAGTAAATAAAGTTATCTTAAAAAAATATCAGATTGGTTAAAGACTGTTCTCTCATTTCTATCCGGACTGCCACATGTACGTTTGTCACAGCATGATCCCAACTGCAGCTGTAGTAAAATAGGCAACTGTATAACGTCAACATGCTCGAGCCATAAACTCAGGTGTGCCAACAGAAGCAGCTGCATGCGACATTGATAAGAGGTGTGTCAAATCAAACTGCTCTCATCTGGTTCATAGTGATTTAAAATGCACAATAAAAAAAGCAGACTTAAAAGCTGTAAGTTTGCCAGTCTGGTATTTATACTTCTATCGTAGTACAGTAAATCTCTTCCTACACTCATCGTGTGGTGCCTACAGTTTTAAGTCAGGATTTTCTGCGTTTCCACAAATTGCACATTACCTCTGATAAAAACACACGTACTCAAATTGAATTCCAGTTTTGTAAAAAAATTTAAGAGATACAAGGACATCGTTTCAGAGGTAGTGCAGTTCGAGGACATCCATCCAATGTTCATATAAATGCATAATGAAATGTAGAAAGCACATACAGTGTTGTGGAACCTTGATAAAACCAGCGTTTTCTATATAGTTACTCATCAGTTAAGGGTGTGGTGTTAACAAAGGGCAGGCGCTGAGACTCGGAGGCTGTCTGCACATAAGGATGTGGACGCCATCGGGTGATTCAGATCCATGGCACAAGTATACATCAAAGGGAAACAAAAGAGATGAATCGCCTTCCTCTAATATTGCTTTACTGTAACCTTTAGGCTGTACTCTTCCAATTACTGAGATAAGAGAAATTGTGGTTGATGAAGAAAGCGCAGGGTTCAAATCAGGAAAGAAAGAGTTTGAATTAACCGACCAAGACTTGAAGAGAACTGGAGGTTATATCGAATGTAGAAATGTATATAAAACGACTTTATTATTAATGTGATTCTCTTTATTCTGTACAAAATCAGCAAACTAGAACGCAAGGATTTCTCAGATTCAGCCATGAATGTGAAAATGAAAAAAAAAAGCAGTGACAGGAATGTCATGGAGACACTTGAAGGAGGCAAACTGAATCTATCCTCCGATGCAAAGAATGTACAGAGTCACAAAGGCCAGAGAAGGGCACACATGCACGCAAGCATGCACACACCCTCGCACACACACACACACACACACACACTTGACAGTCTTGCAAACAGGCAGATTCTAGGTAAGAGGAGAGTGATCCTGTTCAGACATTATGGAGACTTGGCTCACACACACAGACAGACAGTCACACACTAACACACTTCTGCAGCGTCAGTTTCAACTTTTTTTGCCAATTTGTCTTGATGACAGTGAGTTGAGAATTCCAGGGGACAGAGGGTAAGTGTGTAAGCGGCCATTATCGGCCATTTACAAGAAGCTCTGACAGCCAAAAGCATTGTGACTGTCACATATTGCAATGAGGAAACGGCTTTGGTTTAAGAGAACAAATACGAAAGTAGGCTCATGAGCTAAACTGTTTCTATTATTTTACAACTCCACGGTCTGTTTAGAAGACTTTCAGTCCAAAGTGACGCACATCAGAACGAAAGTGCAACTCAAGCAAAGATCTAGAGAGGAGGAAACGACGTCACTGCCAACAAACAGCTTAATGTCCAATCAGAAATACAGTATGTGCTGACAGGCAAAGCACAGGATGTAAAGAAAAAAAAAAGGCTTTATTTTCTCTTCCTATTTCAGATGTCTTTGTAGAGTTTCAATAGAACCGTTTTCATACACCAAATTCTCCTCACACTTCTCTTTTTCTGCTGCCATCCTGCTAGCTTAACTCACTGTCACCAGCACCTTTCATTCAATTCAATCTGAGGGAAGCTAACCGCTAGCTTGAGCTTTCATCTGGTTGGCATGATGGTGTAAATTCACGGCCTCCTGTTCGCCCTGAGAACAACAATTCCACAATACCTGTTGTTTGCAACATGAAACCTGCTGAATTTAAAGTAAATAAAGCAAGCCTTTTTTTCCCCCACCAATTCATCTGAGGGTAGCCGTCAGCTAGCGTGAGCTTCATCTGACTGACTCCTAATGGTGTGAAAGTCATGGCCATGATACCCATCAAACCAATGGGTCAAATTTGCTCAAGCTGAGGAAGAAAGAATTAATGTTTTACTTTCTGCATATGGAGTGTTTCATGCATTAGCACTTATTGGGGCGGTGGTGGATGAGTTAGTAGAGTCGGTATCTCAACCTGAGTCGGGGATTCGATCTCCGGTTCCTGCAGCCACATAAAGCTAATTTGCAAAACTCGTCCCTAGCATAGACATTGAAATAACTGACATTTGTTCTGTACGGCTGCATTGTCAGGTCGGGAGGTAAATCCTTAATATGTTTGCATTTCTTATTTTCATTTTACTTTATGAAAAGGCCATGCAGATTTGTTTTTAAAAAAGGGCCTGATTGGGTAGAAAAGTGTATATTAAAGATAAAGTAGAGGGTCCATGCTGGACATTTTTATTATTTCTAAGTACCGTCATTGTGTAGCTAATAGAATGGAACACTGCACGTGTCAGTATGAGCCCTTTAAAGTCATGAGGTGCTCCAGATAAACTCCCCAGAGGAAACTTGAACAACAGTAAAAAACTTCACTAAGCGTTACCAGCTCTCTCTCTCTCCTTGGCATAAGCTTTGTGCTGTTAACAAAGTTTGTAATCTGTGCTGGTTGCACGGGGACGTGAAGCCGGCCTGGAATGTGTTGCCATGCCTCGCACCCTGACTGTGTCAGACTTTCGCTGCTCCTATTACATAAGTCCGTCTGCCTGTGTTATAAAGTTTCTGTACACTCCGAAAATACCCAGCAGCTTGTTGTGTAACAGATAAAGGCCCTCTGTTGTGGTCCTTAAAAAAAAAAAAAAAATGATGTTAACCACAATGTGACCTCTATTAATGTAGCCAACAGAAGCCTTAGGAGGGGAGGAAGAAAACACAAGTACCGTGTCTTGAGGAGAACAGAGAAAAGATTTATCTTAATGTCCCCCGTGTTCAAAACATAGATAACAAATGATTAGAAGTGAAATGTCATCGGAGCTACAGTTTCTATGTTTTCTCTTGAGATGGCTTGAATGAACAGCCAGTATTCTGCACTTACTTTGCTGTATCGGCAGAATATTATGATCAATGTAAACATTGACTGATTCCTATTTATAGAGACGTACGGGGACGGTGCGTCACCGCTCTGAAAGCGCCTCATCAACTCTGTTTTGGCCACATTCATTCATTCATTGAAGAGCAGTGAACAGCTGAGAGACCGAGGAGAATTAATGGATCAAACCCATGTGATGTTGGGGGGGGGGGGGGGGATTAAAGGTATGCATCATCACAACACTTGAGACACATTCATGGCAGCAATTTCAAGACTCCCTCGTGACTAATAATGGTGAAGAGTGCTTCGCAAGGGCTCGATGGTAAGGTTCAGTCGTGCATCTTAATGTGAAAACATGGAATATTAAAGATTCAGAGACGCTCTACAAGCATCTCTGGTGAGACATGTTCCATCTCCTGCAATTCTGATAACACAAACAGGGACTTGGAGGGCGGTTTCACATTAGGCATGACTGTTTCGCACCGTGCCCGAGTACGATTGCCCCCCCCCGCTGGTCTGCGTTCACATTAGTAACAACATCGTTCCGTACCCGAGTACTTTTGCATATGTAGACATTCCGATACAGCGGGTGGCAGTATGCACATAGTTCAGTTTGTAAACCTGCCTAAAAAGAAGAAGTAGCAACTATAGCAACTCCAACAGTGACCCGCTTCCTACTTCCACATCTACAAGGGGACGAAACAGACCCCGTGCTGTGCGGATACAACGGTTTTTTAAGCCACAAGCAGGAGTAGTTTAGAATACTTCATATAGCGGTCCACTTCCTTGTCGGAGCATGGTTGTTCACATTTCCTTGGAGCGTACTCGAGTACACATGAATCCTGACCAAGACCACCTCTTCAAAGCAGAGTCGGGCACACTTGATCAAATGAACCCGGACTTTTGGGGTCAAGCGTACTCAGATCCGGGGGCCAGGGTCACTAATGTGAAACCACACAGAGGAAATGTCTGTGTCTGTTACCCTCAACCTGGTTTTAAAAAAAAAACAACTGTAGTAGAGTTGTTCAGATATCGACCCCAGGATTGTCCTCTAGTAGGTACAGTAAGCAAGTTTTTTAAGTCGATGTATGGATATTTTTAGCACACTAGTCTGGGAGGCGTATCAGCAAAAACTCAAGTACAGGGATCAGATTCAATAAGGGGGAGGAAGACAAAATATCTGAACAACAATATCCTATATATGAGGGCTCGACCGATATGGGATTTTTGAGGCCGATACCGTTAAATCAGATCCCTATATATCGCCCGATATCTTTCTTAGATCTATGTTCGATCTGTAGAGACAGATATATTCATTTATTGTGTTGATCCCTCAAATGCAGTAATCAAAAACTTGTAGAAAACATATACAGTCACTGGATATGCTAATATCAGTCGATACTATCGGCTGGCGGATGAATCGGTCGGGCTCTGCTATATATACACATATCAAGGTGTATCTGTTTGTGTCCATATAGACATGTACACATCGGTGTGGTTTAGCAGTAGTTTCACTTCCCCTAACAAACACAATAACTCGTGTAAAAAAAGGGGAAGTGAAGGCACGCTACAGATGTCACTTATACACTCGACTGAGACGCAGTTTAAAAACACTCTGGATACGAGGCACTCGGTCTGAACCGGGTTAGGCTGACCAACAAAAAAAAAAAAAAAAAACGCACAAAAGAGAGGAAAGAGAAAAGAGGCAAGAGAGTCTGATTGTTCCCCATCACTGAGTTGTCATTCAAGGCAGTCTCCTCTGTGGCTCAATAGAGTGTGATCAATAATCGCCCGAGGCTTCATCTAACGCTGGGCTGCACCCGGGTACAGTGGTAACAGGCTGGGCCTTTCAAACATGACTGAGTACATTGTACACACATTAAGAGGCCGGGGCCTGGTGTGCTGTAGTCCTAAAAACATTAGCTACTGTGCTCTTGACATTAGCACAGTCACATTGACAGCAGCGCTTTGTTGACATGTTTAGTTTCTTGGGATTTGTTCCCGAGAGGAACACCTCGAGGTACCTTAGCAATGCCGCTAACAGGAGGATAAAGGGTGGAGGGGCTGAAGACAGGGGGGGCTTGCTGCAGAGCTGTGGCTGCCTACAGCCTACACACTATGACCAATGTGAGCCCAGATCAACTGGAGTGTGACAAAAAAAAAAAGAAATGCTCGGCTTTGGTTGAAGAAGCCAGGAGGAGCTGAGAACGTTTGATCCCTCTTTAGCTTTTTCCTCAAAGAGATTCACTTGATAAACGGTCCAGATAATGTGGGAAATGCAGGAATACAATCAAACACATGAAAACTAAGGAGAAGACCCTTCCCTAGGCTATGACCTCACTTCCTTTGACATCACTAGCTCGGCGGGGGGATGGGCAGAGAGAGAGCAGCTAGCTAGTAAAACCAGATTTTTATGTAGCTCCCGTGTCTCACAGTAACCCACACAAGCCATATGAACAACAATAACCCTGCTCCCCTCTCCAACACTGAAGAGCTGCTGTGCCAAAGCACACAGGAACAAAGATGGTATCTCAAACATCTGAATGCTGACTAACCAAGCAGTAACCAGTGGAGGGGAACAGGAGCACAGCAACACACAGCTCCCTCTCTCTCTCTCTCTCTCTCTCTCCCTCTCTAATTCCCCAGGACAATACAGGAAGAATAATGTGTCCGTACGTACCTCTGAAGTGCATAAGAGCCACCGGCTGGAAAGGCCCATTGGAGTTAGGTGCATCAACAACCATCCTGTCTCCAGATTTATTGCATGTCAACATCTAAACCTCAACCAGGAAGGCGATCAACTCAGGGCGAGAGGCCAGCCTCCATTTTAGCACAAAAGCAGATCAGAAAATGAAGCTCTCTGCTGCTGGAGGGAACTGGCTAGTTAGTGATGTAAGCAGCGAGGGAGGGAGCTGATTGGTCGAGCCGCGGCTGCTCTGGAGCAATGAGGGCAAAGGCTGCTGGGAGAGAGGGAGAGTGATTGGATGGAGGGGGATGAATGTGGGAGGGACATACATTGGAATTTTTTTTTTTTTGGGTCAGGCTCCTCCTCACTCACTCGCTCGCTCACTTGGATCTGTGGTGGAGGCAGGCCCCTGCAACAGATCTCAGATCAGACTGACTTAAGTCTTTTGCACAGTTTTACCATTAGCAGGGTTTTCAGAATAATCTGACTTTAGATAAGCAGCTGGGAATAACTTCAGTGTTCTTAGAGAGAGAGAGAGAGAGAATCCTCTAAAGTCTTTCACGGTTTTCTCCTGTCATCTCGGCTCGGTTCTTAATCACAGGGAGGAGGAGGAGAGGAGGAGGAGGAGAGGGTCAGAGGGGCCAGAAAATCCTCGGATTCAATGAGGAGCAGGAGGAATCAAGTAGGAACCACATGAGGGGCTGAGGAACGGGACTATTGACCACTCAAAGTGCAGCGCTCTCCAGCAAATTTAAAACAATTATTCTGCACCAAAATAATAAAGATATGGTGTAGTGTCACCCTGGATAGGAAAACTTTAAATGAAAACAAATATATGATTAGATCTAGTCCAGTAAGATAAGATAAACAGACGTGAAAAAAGCTGATTTTACACTTACAGTACTTTCCATAGAGAAAAATTTAAACTTTGCATGCACATAGCATTCATGGCGATGGCAGAATTTGTGGTTTATTTGAGTAACGTGGAGTTTTTAACAAAATTAGCTTAAAACAAGTGTGAAAACCAGAGATATTAAAATGCAAAGATTTAAAATGCAGGACACTGAAGCCTTCCTGAGTTATTAAATTATCTGTTTAAAATGTGAATGTTATGCATATTCAATTATATTGGCAAAGTTTGTTGCAGTTTTTAGCACTATCGACTCACATAAGGTTCCTGTTTCGAAACGGTTTCTGTGTAGATTCCCTCTGGGTACTCCCGCTCCCTCCCCCATGCTCAGTGTCTCTAAATTGTCTGTATGTGTGTTTGTCTCCACATGTCAGCCCTGTGATTGACTGGTGACCAGTCCAGGGTTTACCCCGCCTCTCGTCCAATGACAGCTTGGGATCGGCTCCAAAAAAAAACCCTGCGACCCCGCACGGGATAAGCTGTAAAAATAATGGTAATGTTTGTTTAGACTGTCACATTTCTAAATAATTATCTCAAGAGCCAAGGCAGCAAAAAATAAATCCAACTCCAGGGAGAAAATTGCATAATCTGCATGTCATGTTTGCATAATGAGTCGGCTTTTCTCCTGTTTCATGTGATTCTCTTGGAGGGCACGCGAAGTGAAAACCACATTCGCACCACAAGACCAAACCAAAGTTTCATAACAGTGGGGGTACTACACAACTTTCACACTTGTTTCACAGTCAGCTCGTAACCAAAGGGCGCTGCTGTTCTCCAGCAGTGAGCCACAAGTATCATCGACTATTTCAAGAGTCTATGTGACATTTGTCATATCGCCGAGTAGACACAAAAATCCCTTTAAAATGTTAAATGAAATATAAACATTGGTTTATTTAGACAAGGAAATATGTGTGTGACTTTTTATGACATTCTAACCACTTCTTTCTTTCAGGGTTCTCTCTATACTCACAGTCTACATTAAAGGAGCAATCTGTAAGATATTTACTGAAAATCTACTAAAATGACCTTACTGTATCATCTGACATTAAGGAAACATTCTATGTTGAAGTGCCGGCTTCTCTGACAACAATGCAGCAGCCAGTATGTCCTCCTTTTTTTTTTTTTTCCTTTAGGCTCTGGTCCTGAATGCTCTGTTTTTGTTTTGACCAGAGAAGGTAGGCAGTTTTAAGGCGACCCCCACATGGCCGTTTTGGACGCCCCTCAGTTTGCCAGGCAAATAGGAAACCAACAAGTGTTGCAGCGATGGAAGCGGACTGACAAACTGGTTCAGATATAACTGATTCTACTTGACTTATAAAGCCTGAGTATTTCTAATAAGCTCCACGAGCAGAAACGTGCTCAAACTAGGATCAATATTGGAGATGCTTTTGAAAATTAGAGAGAGGTTAGAGCGCAGAAAGGTTTACAGACCGATGCAGAGCTGGATAAACACTGAAGCTTCAGCAACACCGACATGGTAACCAGCATGCAAATCAACTCTAGGGAGGAGGGGACAGGGGGAGACAGCTCTCTCTAATGTTTTCAATTTTGACTGCAGTACCCATTTTAAACACTAGGTGTCAGAGTTACATACTGCTCCTTTAATGCTAAAAGAAATGCATCAGATTATCTTCACACAAACATTGTCAAGATGTTCGATAGTTTGATCCTTTTTGCTACCACGTGTTTTAAAACAATACAACCTCTGTTCTTTGAACCACTGATAGTATCAACTACCCGAGGTTTAAAACGACTGATCTTAAACCTCAAGCTGCCGCTAGCAAGAGAGAGAGAGCGTGAGAGAGAGCAGTGGTGGTGTCTTCAGGGTCACAGCTTGGCAAAGACTGATGTTTCTCAAGCTCTTTTGGCGTCACATAAAGAAGAAGAAGATGCCTTTATGTCTCTTCCAAACAGACAGAGAGCAGAGGAAGAGACATTCACACATATACATTGGGAATGTTTTGGTAAAGAAAGGTTACAAATGTATTTGGGCTTTGGCCAATATTGGATGCCAAGGACTTTGTTGCCATGGTAACAAAAGAGGTATCAATATTGTTCGATCTTTAAAAAGTACAATATCTAAGTTTGAAGGTCTGGTCATGTGACAACTCTACTTCATACAACACAGAGGAAGGTCCAGGTTTTTGACAAGAAGAAAAGGAAAGGAACCAGAGATGAAGGAAAGAAGGCCAAGTGTAGAAGTGTATCTGTAAGCAGTTCTCACTGAGGGGCCAAAGCCTCTCTGAGAGGTGCCATTACATTCCAACGCCATGACAACGAGCGGCGGTATTTTCTGAAAACTGTCACTTGCTTCCTACTGGTTGGACTGGCTGGTTAGGAGAGTGTTAAGGTTCAGGACGACCCCCAGGACGACCCCAGGACACCCGCTGACTTTGTATTAGCATTCTTCTAATAGTTGAAAAGAGCCATTAAGATGAGACACGATAAGATCAGATTTTATGATGCAGCAGCAAGACAGAGAAGTAGGTAATGCAAAATCAAAAATCAAAACAGAAAAGGTAAGATCAATACAAATAAAATAAAAATAGGAGGTATACACAAGAAGAATATAAATAGATCAAAACCAACATGATGGACAATGAACGACTACCAGTGTGGAGCGTGCCTCCTCTGTGCCAACGACCTCACCGTCTGTCATTAAAACACATTACATTACTTTACTAAGCATTCACATTCCTTCATTATCATCAACGCATGATATTGTAGCTTATTTTGAGTCACGCCCACAAACACAACACTTCTTAAATACTCACAAATGCATCAAAGTAAAATCAGTCTGCAGCTGCAATCAGTCTCCAGAACCCGAAATAGTTACTGTTGTTATTAAAATAACCTGTGACGTGTTTTATTTTAAATCCATGTCGTCACTATGTGTGTATCGTCTAGCTGCTGAGTGCGACCCACTAAAAGTAATGTGAGGCACACGGTCATGTTTTGGGTTTCAGTCTATTCAAGGTATTTATTGACACTAATACACCAAGTAGCACTGTTTTATTGAACAGTGTCATATGATAACAGTGAAAAATAAAAACTATGTATAAACATGCACTGAAGCTTCAGCTTCTGCCTCAGCCCAGGAAACAACAGAACTGAATTTCCATTTTCAGCCAGCAGAGGGCAGCACAGGCCCATTACATTTACTGCATGTGCAACACAAGCCGATCACTGAATGTTTTACAAACACCTGGAACAACAACAAATGGCTTATCCTTCTCCATCAAACATGGGCCGCTGCCCCGGTGACAACATTTTGTACTCACAAGCAGTTAAGACCACATTCTGTAGGCACTCCATATAAAAACACTGGAATGATAAAATGTCTCGTATCTGATCCATAATAGAGATATGCGACTTTTCATTTGTTACTGGCATGCAGACATTTATAGACCCACTTTCCATCCTTCTGCCACAAGCACACACTCACAAACACAGAGAGAGAGAGAGAGAAAGAGAGAGTACAAAAAGAGCCCGAGGAAAAAAATGTCTGTATATAAAAAAAAAGGACAGCTCCTTAAGCTACAAGCAGAAATCCATTTGCAATCATCCTCATGACTTCTTTTGTCTTTGCCCTGATTATGACTCAGCTAGCTTTGTCAATATTTTCGAGTAGTTTCTCTCATATATATATATATATATATATATTATATATATTTTTATAAAGTACTGTGGCAGCAGTTTTTTATTTGTGTATTGTGTGCACAAGTTGCAAAAAAAACAGAAAAGATTATAACATGTTTTGAATGCTTAAAGACATTAATAAAACATGCAAAATAAAGTTTTTCCAGTGTAGGGTTGCCTTATGTTAAACATCTACATTAAAGCTCCTGTGAGGAGTTTTTTTTAGCTGCTTATGAAATGAATCCTGATGAATATTCATCACCGACAAAAGCAAATAAGACCATCTGCATCATGATTTCTTATTTCTGTTGACATTTTTAATACCTATATTTCTAGTCGCAGGGTAGCTGTCAGACGAGGCGATCAATAGCGTGCCAATGAAACAGCATTTTTTTTTTCATTTTCCGAGCAATTAGTGATACATGACGACTGTTACTGGTAACTCTTGACTGTTGTCTAACTCTGTTTGTTTGTGTTATTCTCTGTTATTCTGTGTATAAATGTTCTTTGGTGGGACTTGTCTGTTGGACAGTAACGATGCTGTGAAATAATTTCCCCTCGGGGACAATAAAGTCTAAAGTCTAAAGTCTACAAGACAGCAGGGTGAGATTGTTCATCAGAAAACACGGATTGAACAAAACCAGGCAAGA